CAATCTGATTTATGTTGAAATTGAGAGCATGTGGCTATTGCCAGGCGGATTATAAAATAAATTGTGGGCACGAGGTGCCGTGAGTAAATAATGAGGCTATTTGGCGCGTGAATTGTCCGTACAGTTGTGATATGAAATATGGGCATGAGGTGCTGTGATGAAATGATAATGATATTTGGCACGTGAATTATCCGTGCAGTTGTTATATGAANTTGTATTGTTAATTTGTAATCAAACAGTATTGTATATTCGGTCCTCATGATCATTCCATGTATTCAGTTAGAGTTCATGACTCAGTACTATCAGTCTTGGGAGGTTGTATATTGATATTTATTTCGCTGTTAGTTTTGGTTACTTATTTAATTAAAAAAAATGGCTTCAAAATGTAATAGAAATCGGCTTACCTAGTCTTAGAGACTAGGTGCCATCACGACGCCTGTGGTGGAATTTTGGGTCGTGACAAGTTGGTATCAGAGCTCTAGGTTCATAGGTTCTACGAGTGATGAACGAGTCAAGTAGAGTCTTGCGGATCGGTACGGAGACGTATGTACTTATCTTCGAGAGGCTACAGAACTGTTAGGAAATTTTTATTTATTTCATTCCTGTCGTGCGGAATTTGTTGAATTTGGAATTGGAGCCTTTGTATCTCTGTTTTCTCACAGATGGTGAGGACACGTGCTACCAGGTTAGCTGAGCAGGCATCCGCTCATACTGCTAAGGCTGCAAGAGGCCGGGGCCGAGATAGAGGTCGAGGTAGAGGTAGAGGAAGGGCACGTGCTGCGACTAGAGCACCTGTCAGAACAACAATTGAGGAGCCACTAATAGCTCCAGTTGGGGGACAGGTACCAAAAGCACCTGTTGTTACCCCAGGACTTCAGGAGACTTTAGCACAGTTCCTGAGTATGTTTGGTACATTAACTCGGGCGGGATTGATCTCTGTTGCACCACACATTCCGCAGATTGGGGGAGTTGCTCAGACTCCGACCACAACTCCAGAGCAACAGGTTCCCGTTGGTCAGGTTCCGGGTGTAGCACCGGTATAACATGTTATTCCGGTTCGACCTGAGGTCAGGCCAGAGGCATCAGAAGAAGAACAAAAGAGACTAGAAAGGTTTAAGAAATATGATCCACCAACTTTCAGTGGCACAGCCACAGAGGATGCACAAGAATTTCTAGAAAATTGTCACTGTATTCTCCGCACTATGGGTATTGTGGACGTGAGAGGAGTTTCCTTTACTACATTTCAACTGTCAGGCGCAGCGTATCGGTGGTGGCAAATCTATAAAGAAGGTAGACCAACCGATGCAACCCCACCAACTTAGACTCAATTTTCGGAAATGTTCTTGAAAGAGTCTTTTATTTATCTCGGAGAGTCTTTTTATTTCATTGTACTGTTAATTTGTAATCAAACAGTATTTTATATTCGGTCCTCGTGATCATTCCATGTATTCAGTTAGAGTTCGTGACTCAGTACTACCAGTCTTGGGAGGTTGTATATTCATATTTATTCCGCTGTTAGTTTTGGTTACTTATTTAATTCAAAAAAAAAAATAGCTTCAAAATGTAATAGAAATCGGCTTACCTAGTCTTAAAGACTAGGTGCCATCACGACGCCTGTGGTGGAATTTTGGGTCGTGACAACATTGCAACAAGAAATAGTTCTGAATTGACTAGCTACTTCTCATTATGATATTTTAGAGATCAAAGCTATGCAAGTAGCATTTAGTTGTTTCAGAAGTTTGCCATTCTGAAAGTATTCCAATATGGCAATAGATATATCTTCACCTATAATTGACCAAGAAGTCTTAAAGAATCCACTGCCATAGCCATCTGGCCCAGGGCTCTTGTTGCTCTCTATCTGAAATATTACTTTTTTAACCTCTCTTTTTTCAAAAGGCTTTAACAGCTGCACTTGATGGCCAGCTGATAGGATAGGTCCATTAGCTAGGAATTTCTTAACAACTCTTTCTCTATAGTCAGCCTCCTGCCCAAGTAGGTCTTCATAATAGTCTACAAACATTTGAGCAATTGTGTCTGGATTGGATTACCAATTGCCCTATACATCTTTCAATTGAGTCACATTTGATCTGAAGTTCATGTGCTTTATCACTGAATGAAAATAGCCAGTATTATCATCTCTCAGTTTTATCCAATTTGCTTTGCTCTTCTGCTGTAAATATACCTCTGTTAGGTATGAGGATCTCCTGAACTTTTGGTACTTCTGAAATTTATCCTGTTGGAGACCTTGATCCCCAGGATTTAGCTGCAGCTGCTTTTGTGCTTGAATGAGTGACTCTCTATCCTGCTTAGCTTCTATCTCAATGTGTCTGAAATATTGAGCATTCAACTTTTTTAGCCCCTTTTTTAAGAGCTTCAACTTCCTAACCACTTGTAGCATTTTACAGCCTTCCACTTGCACATTCCATCTTCCCTTACTATATCTAGGAACTGAGGGTGTTCAGCCCACACATTATAATATTTGAAGGATCATTTCCTCCTAGATTGGTCGTCATGTGATATGATTTTGATAGGGCAATGGTCACTTATTTCTTCAGGCAAATATTTGGCACAACAATTTGGTATTGAATCTAGCCACTCCCCATTTATGAATGCCTAGTCAATTTTTGAATAAATTCTCTCATCATCATGTCTGTCATTCCAGGAATACTTATTTCCTTGATGAGGAAGTTCAAAAAGTCCACAAGCTTCAATACAATTATAAAAATCCACCATCTCTGCCCATGTAATAGGATTTCCACCAATTCTATCTTTCATGTTTAGTACAGAGCAAGGCCCCTAGCGATAAGGGAAAGAAGAAAGGGAATGCTGGCTTTTTTCACTCACTTGAGTTTTGTTTTGGAGAGAGCATTGTGGAGCAGCAAGCGGTAAAGTCCCCTACAACCATCCATGGCTTTGTACAGCCGAAAGTTGGTTTACTAAACACTCCCATAACCCTTTCCTTTCATCTTTTGTATTAAAATCATACATAAATGAGATTCCAAATTCCATTTGCAAAGGAACATAGAATACATCACATGATACAACTTGGGCAGTAATAAGTATTGGGGTGACTCTATAGTAGTCAGGTCTCAATGCTACCAAAATTCTATCATTGTAGTGTGAATTGAGGTTGGTGACATATGGCCAACCATTAAACATCTTCCCTATAATCTGCTCCACCTTCTCTTTCTTTATTTTTGTTTTCAATAGTCCAATTATTCCAGATTTTTCTTCATGGCAGAGGAGTTGCACCTCCCTCTACTTATTTGGGGCATTTAGCCCCCTTACATTCCATGATAGGCAGTTAACCATCCCCAGCACGAGGGATGATCTGACTTCTCACATTCTCTTTATCTTCAGCTATATTAATCTTCATAGTATCTAGCTTGTTTAATACCTGAAATGAATTACTACTCTCAATAGCCTGCCCCTTATTTTGTTGACCTTTACCAATTCTTCCAGTAGTCGTCCACCCTAAATTTGTACTGACCTCTTGCAATACATTACTCGACTTCCCTTGTGTTTGCTTGCTTATTTGACTAGTTGGCTCTTCTGTTGCACCAGTTTTCACAGCTGGTATTTTAGGCTCCTTAGGTCCCCGCTTCTCAGTTTCCTTCTGTATTGGTTTTGGAGGAGGATTCTTTTTCCTACAGATTTCCTCTGAATGGCCATGTTTCCTACAATATTGGCATAAAGTTGGCTTCCAATCGTAGGTGACCTTTTGCTCTACCACATGTCCCTTTTCACTTCTAAAAAGGATGGTATCTGGCAGTTTTGCATCCATATCCACTTCCACCAATAGCCTAGCAAAGTTCAACCTTATCTTCCTCTCAGTATTTTGGTCCACCATTAAAGGCTTCCCTACCAAGCTTCCTATTTTACTCAATCCTTTTTGGTTCCAATACTTGAAGTCCAATCCTGGTAATTTTATCCAAATTGAAACTGTATACAGTTCCTCCTTTGTGAACTCCATGTCAGAGTTTCAAGCTTTCACAATGAAAGGCTTATTATCAAAGTGGTAAATACTACCTTGCACAACATCATTCTTGCCTAGTTCAGTGTCAAATCTAACCAGCACAATCCCATTCTTCAACATTACAATCTTGTTCAAGCCATATTTACCCCATAACCTCTGAACATACCCCTTAATAATAGCAAAAGGTGGATAAGCACCTAGGATATAGCAGACAACAACATTTTTCCAGTATTCAACTTCCGATTCAATATCCTCCAATTCTAATTCAACTATGTTCGAATCTCCTTGTACAATTGAAGATACATATTCTAATTTGAATCCAGCATTTGAGATTTTAGTAATATCAAAATTGTCCCATACCGAGGTTTTCTTCTCAATCGATTCCTCCTCTTCCACCTGGTCTGCCCATGATTTCCTACCTTTGCTTGTTGATTCATTCCTTCCTTCGCTGCTGGAACCTTGCATGATCTCGTTCCATTGTTTTACGGCTTTCAAACTTTGAATTTTTTCCTCCTCAATTGTTAGGGTTACTGTTTCATTGCCTCCTCGAGGATTTGGAGATTCAATTGGTGGATTCGTCACTGGTTTGCCAACTGCCTTATTCCCTCACTGATTGAATTTTGTTGTTGGAGATGGATTATAACTTATTTATGCAGAGTGTCTTTGTATGCAATGCTTTATATGCAGACATAGTTTTCTTTGTTGATCGTATTTCCATGTAAAAGCAAAGAGCGCTTCCTTCTTTTTTTAGCCAAACTCACTATTAAACATGACAATAAGATTCATACATGGCATCCCGCTAACATCAAACATTGGTTGACAACAGTGGCTCTTGTGAGTTTGCATCAACATTGAATAGTATATTAGGCAGCACATGAGGGAGGTCAGTGAGAGTAACCTTAGCATCACGAGTTGCAGCAGCAGCTATCGCAACAACATCAGTTCAAGAAGACGAAGGGGTGAATCTCCTTTCTCTTGTCATTTGAATAAGTCGGGAAGGGGAGTTGATGCGCCATGGGTGTTGTCAAGGAGAGTGACCGACATTGGTGGTGGCAGGCAGACCTTGAGATAGGAGTTGCTTGCAAAGTTAGATTCAGAATTTAAATTTAATGGTTCTAATTTGCACCGAACTTAGTATATTGTTAAAACTATGAGCAGATCTAACATTTTGTTAAGATTTTAATAGATTTTGTGGTTCATACGAACCTATAGACTCTAGGCTACATCCGCCTAGCTTGATGACTATGTTCTGGGTATACAGAAATCAGTTCATGTTCCTACGTATTGTGCGGAAGATTTAGCCATTATTAAGAATTACAGAATTTAAGGTTGGTACTTGGTAACTAGGCTTCTATAAAAGCAAATGGGACGCTGGTTGGCTTGGTTAACAGATGATGGGCTCACTGTATTTATCCGACGACATGTAATCAATCTGATGAGTTTCTACAGCGCACAGTTTACTTACCATGGATGTTTGAAGTTGAACACTTGAAGTTATTTGTCAATCTGCTGTTTTGTCATGCTTTTTAAAGGGAAAAAAAAGAAGAAGGAAGAGGCAAGAGATAGAAGCAGAAAACTAAGACAAATTTCATATTCTAGTTTATGGGGTAGCAATGGACAGGATATGCGACTCTTAGTGCTGAAAACGTGATACAAAGTAACAAACGTTAGACGTTTAATTTGTATGATTTCTGAAAGATCTTAGATTGAACACGTAACTCAAAAGATGTCCAGGAAGCTGTTGTTGGCTAGTTTATGTTGGAAGGGGAGGAAAAGACCAAAACAATACATCATCTTTGGCTTTAGAATCAAATTAATACATATTCTTTCACATGGAACACTAATAGTACATTTACTTTAACAAAGTAATGCACTTTTAGTCATAACACTGAAAAAAGCCCAAAACATACATTATCTTTGGCTTTAGACTCAAAGTCATACATATTCTTCCACATGGAGCACTAATAGTCCATTTACTTTAACAAAGTGGTGCACTTTTAGTCATTACACTAAACACATTTTATTTTTTAATAAAAATCTAAGATCTGACAAAATATATGTTCCCTTTATTTTCTTGTTTACCGAAAGAAATAAAGATGACATATTTATCTAGATAGCAAATAATAAATATACATAGAATTTATTTACTATACGTAAAGTATACATTTTACTAAGAAACGTTAAACACCGTTAATATTTATTTGCAATAATTTTTATCTAGATAACCTCAAATGGTATCTAGATTTTTTATTATATACATAATATTTACTATACGTTGACATAATATAAATATACGTAAAATCGTTGCTGAAAGTAAAATAAATTTTATTACCAAAATAAATATACGTAATATATATATTTATTAGATTTTTTTATTTTATGGGAGTCAGCGTATAGTAAACATAATATTTATTTTTATTTTATGTATATTTACTTTAGTAAATATTTATTTTTATTTCTTTCGGTAAACAAGAAAATAAAGGGAACAGATATTTTGTCAGATCTTAGATTTTTATTAAAAAATAAAATGTGTTCAATGTTATGATTAAAATTGTACCACTTTATTAAAGTAAATATACTATTAATGCTTCATGTGAAAGAATATGTATGATTTTGATCTATAGATATGTATTGTTTTGGTATTTTCCACTCAAAAGGGAGTGTACCATATTAGGTTGGCCGTTGGGAAAAGCTGGTCCTTTCACTTTATTTACAATTATCCTTTAGCGAACTTTTCAATATCAAAATAGGGATTGGTCTTGCATGCACAATAAAGTTGGGCTACTTATGCTGATCCAACTCACATTTTGCAAAACAATATTTTTGCTTATGCTTATTAATTTTATGTATTTTTGCCTTACCCTAAAGTGATCAAAACTAGCCAGAAATTAATTTTCAAACTAGCCAGTACAAACCGTTGGTGATTAATCTTTAACTAACCGTTAGTTAGTTATTAATCTTAAGCTAATTATTAATCCTCTACCTATATATACCAAGTGTTTATAACTGAAAAAGTTTATTGAATCCTGAGGGATATGCTTATTTTATTCCTTATTGTATAGATGAAATATTTTAAAAATAGTGTCTTGACACGCCTCAAGTTAATCCTAAGAGGAAGAAATGCTGCTTTTTAATTTGACTGTTGATATTGAATTCTCTGCTACTGGATATAAAACTTCAGGCCACAATTTGACTTTTTTCAAGTTGCTCAAGAATGACACCGTGGACATGGAATGGGAAGTTTGTTCTTTCCTCTTCCTTTTTCTTTTGTCATCTAACGAGGTCTTCTTTAATCTATATCAGAAAAAGGAAGTGTGATAGAGATTGGACGTAGTTTTTGGTCTTTGTTCCTTCTACTACTAGAATTACACAATATCCAGTGATATCACTTAACAGTCTTACCTATTCAAACGGAAATAAGACATAAGCTCAAATCATGCATTTGTATTAAAAAATTTATTTAATATATAAATAATTTATTACGAACTCAGTAAATTATCATGTCCTAAATTTCAGAACTCATATACTTGAAATTCTGGCTTCGCTTCTGAATGGACTTATCAATCTATTAATTCCATTTATATGAGCCGCTCACATTATCAGGTCAAGTTCAGATAAAAGATGAAAGTTACATTAAATTTACATCAATTTATAATAAATTATAATACAAAACGTGTCAGCTAGAAAAATATTTTTTCAGACACTGTCTCAATCGGTGGCAGACCCATGATTTGCAAGGTAGCGTCATAGGTAACAAAAAAGAAGGAAAAAAATAATACTACAGAAGCTAAATATTGGGAAGGGTGCAAAAACGAACATATTATATTAAAGGTATTTTATCCAAAATTACTACAGAAAAGCTAAATAATGTGGCGGCCTCCCTAAATTATCCCTTTGTTCTCAATTTTCTAAAGCACATAATTAGAGTGTTATTGGCCGAGTAAGATTTATTTAGCTTCTTGATGTTGATATGGCTCTTTTGTTGTGGTTTCCTAAAGTTAAACAGCTACTCAAATTTTACTTTGGAAAAATGACGTTTTAACAACTGGTAGTTGGCTGTTGCATCTTTTGCATTCCAAGTCTGTTGCTTCAAGAAATACGTAAAAGAATTCTCCTACCAATGAAAACGAAACAGCAAATAGATCTCTAAAATTATGTCAATAACTACGTAATTTGTAGAATCCGATTGCATCATTTGGAAATAAGTTGGCGTAGAAGACGGGAATTAATGCTGTTCAATTAGTACAAATATTAGTAAAACGTGAAATTAAATATCAAATTTCTTCAGTCCTACAATTTGGGATATTCTCTAAATTAAGAAAAAGATACGTAGAATTTACCAAACATTGACTTTGGACATCATAATCGAGCAATGATATGCCTTTACAAAATAAATAGTTGATCAGTTTATTTTACGTGATAAAGTATTCTTTTACCTTTTTAATAGTTGATATGCCTTCGTGTATTTGAAAATTATTTAATCCCAACGTTTATATTTTACTCTTACTAAGATAACTCGTTCTTCCAGCTTAGTTCTATAAGTAACAATATGTGAAACTCTTATCATTTTTTTACTTAATTATATTAGAAAAAATAATTAATATCTTGCATATATTTAATTTTTGTAAAAGTCTTTATTCTCTGGCAAATAATATCATATAAAATATGGTCATGGAATAGTAGATAAACAAAATTCGAACGTTAGAGATTGGGATCGAGTTCAAACAATGTGGGCCCACCCCTCAAATTGAAAAATACACTGAAAATATAAAAGTCTTAGCCAAAGTCTGAAAAAGAACCCCAGAATTCCAGAACCCCAAGCCCTTGGCCAAATTTAAAACATGACACCTTTTTAGTTTCTTGTCCTCTACTCTTACTCTATGAGTGGCCTTTCTTCAAACAACGTGTATCTTATTCTTTTATCTCACTTTTTCATTTGAATTTCAAATTTAAATTCTCAGAGAGAGAGATTACATGCCACAAAAAAACAATTTAAATAACGGTAGAATAATAATTCTCTAGATTTTTCAGGTTCCATTCTTGTTCTCCTGTTTTTTTGTTGCAGACTGATATGATGGCAGATTCAGCTTGTCTTATGCATGCGTTCTCTTATGCTTCTCCTATACCCAATGAAGCAAAACAGGTACTAATTAAACAACAAACACCCACTATTTATTTTTCAAGACACTCGAAATTTAACTTCTTACTTGAAATTTTTGGGCATGGAATTGAGTGAGGATTTGTATATACAGGGGAATCCTATGCATGCGCTTGGGGAATCCATTTCTTTTGGGAGATTTATGTCAGAGTCATTGGATTGGGATAAATGGTCAACTTTTTCTCACAAAAAATATGTAGAGGAAGCTGAGAGGTATGCTAAACCAGGTTCTGTTGCCCAGAAAAAAGCTTTCTTTGAAGCTCATTACAAGAAAATTGCTGCTCAAAAGGCTGCAGCTTTGCTTGAAAAAGCCAATGAAGAAACCCCCAATTCTGAAATCACCCAAAATTCAGCCCCTGATTTAGTAACAGATTCCATAGTTAGCGCTTCAGTATTAGTTGGTGAAGGAGTTGCTGATGTGGAGGAGAGAGAAAATGATGCCCCAGTGGAGGGACCTGGTACTCCTGAAGCTATGGAGACAGAACCATCAAACCAGATTGAGAATGGGGAGAATCAAGAAACAGTTTCAGGGTCTGAAATTAGTGAAACATCTCACACTGAGAAGCCTTTGCTGAAAACAAAGGTAAATATGTGTTCTTTACAGTCCTTTGGCCTCAATTTTGGATTTCTAAAATATGCCAATACTATAGGAAATTTTGGCTTTGTGAAAAGCATAGTTAGTCCCAAATACGGATAAAAGGTTGATGGTGAGTGGAAAAGTAGTTCAACTATGAGAGCATTTATATAGATGACCCTAATTAGTTTGTAATTAAGGCCTAACTGATATTAGTGAAACATCTCATACTGAGAAACCTTTGCTGAAGATTAAGGTAAATATGTGTTCTTTACAGTCCTTTGGTCTGTTGGATTTCTAAAATATGCCAATACTATTAAGAATTTTGCCTTTGTGAAAAGCATAGTTAATTATTAAAGGGTGATGGTAGTGTAAAAATACTCAAGTATGAGTGAATTTATATGGAAACCCCAATTAGTTTGTGATTAAGGCCTATTGATTGATGGATATATTGATTTTGAATACTATATTGAACTGATTTATCTTATCTGATTCAGCAGAGCTCCAGCTCTAAACGAGATGACGATGATGCTACATCAGTGACGAGCAAGAAAAAGTCTGCTTTTTCTTCATTCAAATCATCTGTTTATTCCAGAAAATTTAAAGTCCCACCTTCACCTGCTAGGCATGACATTCCTCTTGATGTCGATAAAGAAAACAATTTCACTCCAATCACAAGAAATTCCGCTTTAGACCTAAAGAATGAAATGAGATCAACCCCAAAATCCTTAAGTAAACTGATCAATCTTACTGCTGCGAAAGAGTCTAATAAAATACCTCCTCCACCTCCCCCTTTCAAGAAGGATAGTTCAATGGTCGCTCCTACTGCTGGCGCGGCAACTAAGAAGTGCGCAACTCCTCTCAAGACTCCCATGGTAAACTTCTTTATATAAATGCTAATCCTGATAATAATCTAGGATTTTCTAAGATTACTTATCTTTTCAACTACAGGCAACATCAAATGGTGCATCAAGTCGTCCAATGACAACGCCATCTTCAGAAAGTAGAAGGTATACTTCCATATATATCACTGTAAACAAGNGTAGAAGGTATACTTCCATATATATCACTGTATACAATCTTTCTTATGTAATAGCATTTCATTGAAGCATTGCTTCCACTGACAAACCACTAACATGGTTCTTTGGTTTTCGTATCTTCCAATTTACAGGATCAAAACACCAATTCATCCCTCAGCTTCAGGAAGTAAAACAACGGGGCCTAAGTGGAACATTTTATCTTCTGTGTAAGTGTCTATAAAATGATGACTCTGGCTTCACAAATGTAGCATAATCATTTGTACATTGAAACGAATCGAAGTAGAACTTTATTCTCTTAACATGTTAAAACTGCTATTTGGAAGTCCCATTTAAGTAGCCAGACTTTGCGGTATTTCAAAACAATTGGATTTCGTTGAATACAGTTTGAATGCTGGAGACTTTGTAAAAAAAATCTGAGATGCAATTTTTTTTCCACTTGAACTTAGTTATCTTCACACAGGAATAGTTTCATTTTTGTCAACAAGAGTATATTGGTGCGTCAATCCATCATGCACCATAACAGTGATTGTATTCTTTCTGCAAAGTATCCAATTTGGGGTTATTTAGTATAAAATTGTGCCACTGTTGTTTGCCGTTGGATCTCTCTTACCTTTGGTGTTCCCTGTTCAGTTCCAAGTCTTTCACGGCCTACCGAAACAAATTACAATCACCAACTTCATCCACTCCTTTCCACTTGAGGACAGAAGAAAGAGCTGCACAAAGAAAACAGGCGAGTGTAATTTTTAAATTTATAGTAGGATTTTTATGTGGGTTATCTCCCTTTGCATTATGAAAACTCCAATGTTCTCATATATCTTGTACTTCTGCAAATATTTTCAGAAGCTTGAAGAGAAATTCAATGCCAAGGAGGTAAAGAAAGTCCAACCACAAACGACATTAAAGGTTTGACTCCTTATGCAAAGCTTCCCTTATGGCTTGTATAATGTTTGTCTTTACCGTGAATTCTGCACCTCCTATTTTCAGAACAACGAAAACAAAGAAAAGTAGTGTGTGAACTTTGACCCAACTTTACTTAGGAATGAGACTCACAAAATAACTTCAAAAGCTTTTTGGGTATACTATGTAGAATTAAAGTGGTTAAGCTCAAGATTTTAGGGTAAGGATTTAATAATTCCTTTTCAGTTTTTTAATATTGGATTAATATTTTTTTTAATATTATATTGAAAGAAAAGTTATTTAATACTACTAAGAAAAGACTGTCAGTTAATCCAAACAATTGTATCTTGTCCTATAAAACAGAAAACTGCCTTACCTTTGCCAAGTTAAACATACAGAAAGGAGTAATCTAAGACTTTTTAACCTTCTCATGTTTATGATCATGTTAAGTTATACTTTGCTGCAACACTTTGCTGCAAAATTCTTATTAAAAGTTCTGCTTAAATCTTTTGAATGCTGTAAGGGGTGTGATTGTGTTTTTACTAATGCAATCGGTTTGATTGTATCCAAGAAAGGAGCAAAGATTTTGGAGGAGTTGGGTCGAGAAGTGTTACTTCCACCCTAAACATTTGGGTAGAAACCGTTACATAGCAATATATACTTCTGGTCTTTTCACTTGTAGTCAATTTGGGAGTTGACATTTACTATTCGTTTCCTCCAGTTTTCTTCGTATGATTTCTAATAATAAGGAAAGGTTGCTCTATAGTGTATAAAAAGATTAAAGTTTCTAACATTTACTGATACATATGCACTGCTTAGCATCATCTTTTCTATTCATCGGTTTGGAGTCAAATATTGGAATAAGATGTTTAAGTGGAAGAAAACAACAATCTTTAACTACGCATGATTCAGATTTTGTATAAAACGCATCTAAACCATCTTTAGCATCTGTTACTCATGCTAATGGCTTACAAATGCAGATCGGATTTGGTACTTCTTTTTTTTCCTGAAAATGCTTAATGGAAAGAGACAAAGTTACACACCTTTAATCCACTCTTTTCATATTCGGCAGTATTTTTTCGTACCAAAATTTCTATCATTGAAGTGTCATCTTAAATAGTAAATGATCTTATATAAAGTCAAATTCGTATCAATAAACAATGCATTCTTGCTTGCAGGAGAAAGCAGAATCGGAGTTCAGGAAACTTCGGCAAAGCTTTTGCTTCAAAGCTCGCCCCCTGCCTGAGTTCTACAAGGAAAGAGAAACAGCAATAGATCCCACAAAAAAGGTACCACTACATTGTATTATTCCTTCATTATTCAGATATTCTTAAGAGCTACTTTTGTCCCCTCTTTTTTGTTCCCTTTTTCAAAATGCACCCTATACTCCCACTTTCAAGGAATTGGCAATGATGAATATAAATAACTTCACGATGAATGACAGTCTCGACAATGAACTGTTTTGATCAGCATCCTTCTCCGCAATTTTCTCCTAGTTCATATCCTATACCTTACTGATTGCTTCAATCTATGCTGTCCTGTTAGTAGCAGCGCTTTATATGGTTTAATTTTGTGCAGACTCCAATTGCACAATTGCCCAAGCTTAGAAGAATGCCCTATCCAAGCTCAAAGCAAGGCTTAGTCTCGAAGCCTGCTTCTGCATCTTTGACCAAGAATGACTCTTGCAAGAATCCAAGAAAGAAGACATGTTGAAAACCTATAAAATTTTCATTCCTTGCAAAGAGTAGTGTTTTTTTTAGAATTGCTTGGTCCTGATCAGCTGGGGAGGTTTATTTCTCCTCAACTCTAAAATCTTGTATAAAAGCTATCTAGACGCATGTGTTACACGCATGTGTTACCCTGAGTCCTGAACTGAGCTTCCACCCTGACCATGACGGTAGATGGTGTCTAGTATTTACCCTTCAAAATCGTAAATTTTCATTTCACAACGATTACATTGTGAAATACTAAACCAGCTCAATTTAGGTAAGTTTAGTCAAATTATAAAGCAAAGCTTAAATATTGTCCTGCTGTGACCATAAGCATATGTATGGTACTGTCCGTACATCCAGTATCTACTAAGGTAGAGCATTACCCGTATGTGTGACTGACATATATACAAGATGGTGAACTTTTTTCTATAACATGAAAGAAACGGAAGAGAAGAAGGAGCATTGATTATATGTTGATGCAACAACAACAACAACCCAGTATAATCTCACTAGTGGGGTCTGAGGAGGATGATGTGTACGCAGACTTTACCCCTACCCTAGGGTAGAGAGGTTGTTTCCGATAGACCCTCGGCTCCCTCCCTCCAAGAACTCCCCACCTTGCTCTTGGGGTGACTCGAACTCACAATCTCTTGATTGGAAGTGGAGGGTGCTCACCACTAGAGTAATCCACTCTTGTCAAATTATATGTTGATGCGATGAAGAGTATTTCATGCTACATGCCAAATTATATTGTTTGGGCTTTTGAAAAATATCGCGGATTCTTATACACTATTTTTGAAGGATCCAACATGCATTCGGCAACATTTTTGAAGGATCTCAAGAACATAGTTACAACAACAACAAAGTAGTCCGTAGGCAAATGTCACCCCTACTTAAAGCGGATAGAGAAGCTGTTTCCAGTAGACCGAAAATCTTATTTGTGGATCAATATTGTTTTTAAGTCCAAGAGTTTAACCACAAACAGAATACGCAATGTAAAATCTCTGACGGAGCAATGAGTCGGTTGTTCGGTGCATATAAAAGGATAACAATAAAAAAGGAGTAGTGGACAATCACTAACTTATACGACACCACCATCTTTTTGGCGTAAAAGAATTTAGAATATGCTCAATTCCCGGTGAACTGAATCTGAAACATTAAATTTTCATTTGTTTCTAACAATTAAGTTGAATGATACGACAAGTAAGAATTGCTAATTTGGTAAAGCAATTCCGATCATGACCGTTAGGTCTTGAGTTCGACAAGTTAAAAAAAAACGGTTATGAGTTCGACAAGTTAAAAAAAAGTTTGCATATGGACAAATTAAAAACTGCATCTTTTTCACAAACCAATGCCATCTCAATTCTGTAATATATTCAATTTATTTGACAAGTAAATACAATTACAGAGATGTAAGATTTTTTTTTTTTTTTACAGTAAATACAATTGAAAGGTCACAATAGTAAAATATAAACACAATTGAACGGACCGAATTACATTTCTTCCACAACACACCAATCTCCATCTTCTTCAACCTTTTCCCACACAAATCCCACCTCACAGAAACTCATTCTTTCTTCATCATCATCCCCATTGTCTTCACATTCATCAATTTCCTCAATCTCAACACCAGGTGTTGACCAATTGGAGTCAACTACCAATTCTGATCCAATTTCCTCGTTAAAATAATCTTCACCAGGACTCGGGGCATCATAGTAAATTCCATGATCATCATCATGATCCATGTAATAAGAATAATCACTATCCAAATGATCCAAAAGTCCAGTAGCCGAAAACCCAGAAAAATTCAACCCAGGTCTGGAATCAACAACTCTCCAAGTAATCAACCTATAATTCGAAACGACGTCGCCACGTCCCTTTAATTTTTGAGTTCCTTTAGTTTTGTCCTTCGATTTTCCAGCAGGGTGAATATGGCAGCTGTTGCACCTGGGCCTACCGCACTTGCCTGTGAACTTGGAATGGTTACAGGGCTTAGTTGAAACCTTTGTGAAAAGCCCAGCGGTTGGAGGTGAATTGGACTTGTTGATATACCAGGAGTCGGTTTTTGGGTTATATGGAGAAGGTAAAATTGGGTAGGTACGAACCATACCGTGTTGGCGACCTTCTCTCTTCATTTTTGGTTGAGTTTTTTGTGATCTTAGAAATGGTTGAATTGGTTTTAGAAATGGCGATGGATTCGGTTTATATATAGGAGGAGTAGAGAGTTTTGGAGGTGGAAGAGGTGGGAAAACTTGGGAAGCAAGGTGTTTTAATTAGTCAACTTAGGCATATGCTTTTCGTTTTTTGGGTGCGTGTCTTCCAAGCCTAATTCAAAATTCCCAACAACTGCTCACACCTCATTTAATGCTAAATATATGGAAAACGATAAAAAAAAAAAAATACTTATTTACTGTACAAAATATTTTAAATTACCCACAACTATACTTTAGGATTATTTGTATCTTTGTTAGTGTTAAATCATATTATATTTTCCCATGCTCCTAATGGAGATGACCTAACTAAAGCATACATAGGATCAGGGGCGGATTTAGGAGGCGGGAGGGATTACCGAATTTCCTTCGCAAAAAAATTACACTGTGTATATAAGACAAAATTTGTGTAGTCATTTGTTTAATTCCCACTATCTATGATTTTTTTAAACTTTTCTTTTGAACCTCTTAGCGAAAATTCTGCCCCTGTCACTGCATAGAATAAATTAAGGGTAAATCTAAAAAATATTTCTGTAAGATTTTGACACATGAAATCCATTCAATTTATATCGGAGCTTTATTAAAGTTAAAGACGTATGTGGAAAACTATTGTTATTGACTAGGATATCACAACCATATAGTATAACAGAGGATAATATTATTATTATTATTTGCATAATTAAGAAGTAATTTGGATCTTTTTCCAAAAAAATAGTATATGAGATCGAATTAATAAAATTAGGTGAATCTGCAATTGTAAAAATTAGATTGTACAGAATACTATGCATCAACTACCTTTGTGTAACAATAGATGGGGACTTAGTGTGTGTAATTTATATAAGTAACTTTCTTTTTAAAAAAAAAAAAAAAGTTATGCATATAATTTGGATAGAAAATAATTGATGCATTCATACGGCAAAATTCTAGGTTGGTTAAAGGGGGAGTCCAAATAAACTTTTTTTCTTTTCTTTCAGTAGTCCAAATAAACATTGGCCCGTGAAATTTTTACATTTCTTATCCTCTTTGGTCATTTTCAAGTTTTCATCAATGACAAGACAAAGTGCCAAACACAAAATTTGTGATTGACTCCGACCCTGCATTCAAGAACTAATTGGGCCTATATGTTTTATTGTGGCCTGCTTCCTGTAAGAATTTATTGGGCCTAGCCCAGCAGGAAATACAGCATCTTGTTGGGCGATGTGCACAGATAGCCAGTAATAACACATGTATTTACTTTTAAGCCATTATTTTAAATATCTTTAGTCTTTAGCCACTAATTTAATAAATTTTTAGCCATCCGGACGAAAATACCCTTCTGCTATAAGGATTTCGCTGATACCTACGCTATTTATTTACGATCAGCAGCAGCTCAAATTTACGTGCAAACTTACGTGCAGAGAATTGATGTGATCGTCCAAAATTGCAGAAGCTTCTCTTCCGATTTCAAACTAGAGTATTCAACTTTCTCGTCAAAAATTCACTATAAAAGTACAGTAAGTTCTAAAGTTTCAGATATCTCTATATGCTTTTGTGTGTTTGTGTGGATTTTTATTTCGTTACTGAAGAATAAGATGCTAGGAATTTGATTTTTTTTCTTTTCTGTATTGATAACGTTAAGGACATCGCGTCCTTAACTCTGTGATTGTTCTGTAAATATTGAGGACATAATGTTAAGGATTTGGTGTCCTTAACATGACTGTTGTTCTAAAAACTATTAAGGACAAAGTGTCATGTGTTTTGCAACTTGTATTAATAAAGTTAAGGACACGATGTCCTTAACTTCATGACTGTTGTTCTAAAAACTATTAAGGACAAAGTGTCATGTGTTTTGCAACTTGTATTAATAAAGTTAAGGACACGATGTCCTTAACTTCATGACTGTTGTTCTAAAAACTATTAAGGACAAAGTGTCATGTGTTTTGCAACTTGTATTAATAAAGTTAAGGACACGATGTCCTTAACTTCATGACTGTTGTTCTAAATATTAAGGACATAGTGTCTTGTATTTGCAAATTGTATTGATAAAGTTAAGGACACAATGTCCTTAACTTTCTGCCTGTTGTTCTAAATATAAAGGACATAGTGTCATGTATTTGCAAATTGTATTGATAAAGTTTAGGACATGATGTCCTTATTTTAATGACTACTGTGTAAATATTAAGGACATAGTGTCCTGTATTTGTAACTTGTATTGATAAAATTTAGGACATGATGTCCTTAACTTCATGACTACTGTGTAAAAATTAAGGATATTGTGTCCTGTTTTTACAACTTGTACTGATAAAGTTTAGGACATGATGTCCTTAACTTCATGACTATTGTGTAAATATTAAGGACATAGTGTCCTGTATTTGCAACTTGTATTAATAAAGTTTAGGACATAATGCCCTTAACTTCATGACTGTTATTCTAAATATTAAGGACATAGTGTCCTGTGTTTTGCAACTTGTATTGATAATGTTTAGGACATTGTGTCCTTAACTTCACGATTGTTGTATAAATATGTCTGAATTTCCTATTTTTTGACTTGCAGGATGGATACAATATGTATTATAGTTGCTTTTAATGGTAGATGGACTGCAGACTATAAGTATCTTGATCATCAAACAAAGCTTGTTCTAGTACCTGAGGTAATTCGATTTGAAGATTTCATTAACCAGGTCTTTGAAGTTATTGAATTAGATAAAGACAAGTTTGAAGCAATGATATGGTTTGATATCAACCTGGGAACAAGCAAGGGAATGCTTGTATCCAAAGATTTAGATCTTCACACATGTATAGAGTTACTAAAAAGTCATTCACTCTTCAAGGGCTATCATTTCATTGNAGTGGGATCAATATTTGACAAAAAGAAGAGTATAATTAACTGTTTTTCGAATATAGCAATTAAATGACATTTTGAATTCAAGGTTGTTAGATCAAGTTCAACAAGATATTCGTTGAAATGCAATGATGATAGGTGTGGGTGGTGTGTGCGTGCTTTCAGAATTAAAGATTCAACACTATTCAAGATAGTAAAGATTGAGAAAAATCATGACTGCTCAGTTAACACTATGAAAGTTGATCAAAGGCATGCAACTTCAAAGTTGATTAGCGGTTACATTATTGACAATCTTCGAGACCCAAGTTTTGAAGTTACACCAGCCTTTGCCATGGCAGAAATGCAAAAATTGCATGGACTAGACATTGGTTATCACAAGGCGTGGCGTGCTATTCAACGTGCTTCAGCTTTAATAAGAGAAACTCCTGAAGAGATTTATGAATTATTGTCTTCATACTTGTATATGATGAAAAGTAAAAATCCGGAAACATACACTAACATAAAGATAGACGACAACAATAGGTAAACAATCAAAAAAAGTTTATTAGTCTGTTTTATAAACTTTAGGACGTGGTGTCCTTAACTTGGATGTGTGCAATAAAAATGTTAAGGACACGGTGTCCTTAAATTTGATATGTGCAGTGAAAAAGCTAAGGACATGGTGTCCTTAACTTTTATATGTGCATTGTAAAAGTTAAGGACATGGTGTCCTTAACTTTGATGTGTGCAGTGAAAATGTTAAGGACATGGTGTCCTTAACTTTGATGTGTGCAGTGAAAATATTAAGGACATGGTATCCTTAACTTGGATGTGTGTAGTGAAAAAGTTAAGGACATGGTGTCCTTAACTTTAATGCGTGCATTGTAAAAGTTAAGGACATGGTGTCCTTAACTTTGATGTGTGCATTGTAAAAGTTAAGGACAAGTTATCCTTAACTTTGATGTGTGCAGCGAAAATATTAAGGACAAGATGTCCTTAACTTTGATGTGTGCAATGTAAATGTTAAGGATTTGGTGTCCTGTATTTTTAACTTTCTGTTAAACTGTATTTTCAGGGGGGTTTTATATGTTTTATGCATATGGATCATCAATAGCTGGTTGGAATCATTGTAGACTAGTGATTGCTGTTGATGCAACTTTTTTGAAGTCAAAATATTGTGGTATTTTAATGATTTCAGTTTCAAAGGATGCAAATAACCAAATATTCCCACTAGCCTTTGGAATTGCAGAATCTGAAAATAACAATTCCTATGAGTGGTACTTTAGTGAGCTTCGCAATGCAATTGGGAGCCGTGACAATTTATTTTTTTATCGGACAAGCATCAATCTATTGCACATGGCATCGCAAAGGTATATCTTGAAAGCCACCATGGGATTTGTATCTATCATTTGGAGCAGAACCTAAAGCGAAGGAAAGTGAAAAGTGAGGTCATAAAACTTTTTCAAAGTGCTGCAAGAGTATACAGGCGCAAAAAATTTGATTTATACATGTCAGATATAGCAAAAGTTGATAAGAAGACTTTTGACTACTTGATGGAAGAACCACCGAAAAGGTGGGCACGTTCTTGTAGTCCACGACAAAGATATGACATACTCACAATAAACATAGTTGAGTCAATGAATTATGTGCTATTAGAAACAAGGGAGCTGCCTATATTAAGAATGATGAATTTTATCCAAGTGAAGCTACAACGTTGGTTTTATGAAAGAAGAAATGAAGCAGAAGGAACTTTTTATGACGTTTCTTGTTGGGTAGAAGAGGAATTGAAGAAAAAGATAGATTTAGCTTTTACTTTAAATGTAAGTATTATGTTCTTACTTTAGCTTATTATTTTAATGATAATTTAACATAATGTACTAACTTATAGTTTTTCAACTTTGAAGGTCTTCCCTGTTGATTCATGGCGTTCTAGAGTTGAGGAAGAAGGAATTACTTTCTTCGTGGACTTAAACAAAAGAACATGTAATTGTTTTCAGTTTCAATTTGATGAATTACCATGTATACATGCAATTGCAACTATCGAGAAGAGAAACATCAAGAAGTTCAATTTCTGCTCGGACTGGTACTTAAAGGAATCTTGGCTGAAAACATATGAAAGACAAATACATCCTGTAGGACATACGGATTCTTGGATTGTACCAGAGAGTGTTAAGTCACAAATTATTAAACCTCCAGATTTCAAAGTTCCGCCAGGTAGAAGGCAGAAGAAAAGGCATATTCCAGCTACCGAATCATCAAAAATAACATTCAAATGTGGTCGTTGCAAAAGAATTGGTCATAATAGAACATATTGTATATATTCTCCGGCAGTCCATCCATTTTCAAGGAAGCATAGAGAATAATAGATATATCCACGTATATTTATCTACTCTTTTACGTTTTTGCTATAAATTGGATTCATTTAGATTGTTTTTATTTGAGCAAGTAAACATTAGCAGATGGTTATATAAAAGATATCTTGAATTTTCAAAGTTTCTTTGCGCTTACGTGCTCTTTGTTTCTTTTTCTTTTTCTGGGAGTTCAATTTACCTTTGTCGAACCAATTATTGTTTATAGGATTTTACTCTTACCGTAAGTAAACAACAAAGTCCTTTTCTTTATATAATTTGACGCCTACAGCTTGCTACATCTTTATTTTTAAAATCAGATTGGTACAGGTAAAACTTAAGGACATAATTTTTTTAAAGTCCTGAAAATTTCAAGTATGAATCTAATATTTAGGACATAAATTTCTAAAATGTCCTTAACTTTTGGAAATCTCAGATTATTGTCTAGATTTCTAGAAGTTCGAGACATTTTAGAAAAATATGTCCTGAATATTATTTTCATCCTTCAACAAATCAGGACGTTTATGAACATTATGTCCTGAAGTTCTACAACAATCAATGTATCTTTTGCTATATCTCTACAGATTTAATAAAAGACTGGCAATTTAAAATAGACAAATCAGTAGTTATAAAATTTGACATCTGCAGCTTGCTAAACACAGCTTGCTACATCTTATTTTTAAAATGAGATTGGTACAAGTAGACTTCAGGACATAATTTTTTGAAACGTCCTGAACATTTGAAGTATGACTCTAATATATAGGACATAAATTTCTAAAATGTCCTTAACTTCTGGAAATCTCAGTGTCACGACCCAAAATCTAACCATGGTAGTGATGGCGCCTATTGTGTTACAAGGCAAGCCTATTTTCTAAAAATATTACTACTAAACCAATTATAAGAATTTAATAAAATATTTCAACATTTGAATTTCTCATAAACTAAATCAACTCTAAATATAATTTTAGAAATACGGAAACGAGCCTTAAACATCTGGGTGTCACTAAGTCATGAACGTCTAAATCTATGAACTAAGAAATGAAACTGTCTAACTGTCAATACAATCCAAAAGAAGAAATGATAAAAGGAGTAACAAGGTCCTGCGGACCTTAGCAGCTGCCTTGTAATCTCCACAGATAGCCGGCGTGAACTCAACGATCACCGCGCTCTAACTCACCTGAATCTGCACATAAAGTGCAGGGTGTAGCATGAGTACAACTACCTCAGCAAGTAACAGAAATAACTAAGGAACTAAGCAATAGTGACGAGCTAAGTCAAACAGTCCAATTATTTATTTTCACAATTTAAACATAAACATATAAATTTCATAACTCAGTAAATGCCATAAAGAAGTTTAACAAATAAATGCAGCAATAACACAAATAAATTCAACCTCACAGCAGTGTCACTCCATCACTCATCACTCGCACTCAACACTCTGCACTCACTGGGGGTGTGTACAAACTCCGGAGGGGCTCCCAAAGCCCAAGCGCTAAGCACGGATAACTCACGTGCCATTATATCAATACCTGGATCCGCACGGTCAACTCACGTGCTACGCAGACAACTCACGCGCTATTATATCAATACCTGGACCCGCACGGTCAACTCATGTGCTATGCAGACAACTCACGCGCTATGGTATTAATATCCTCACAACCAGGCCCTCGGCCTCACTCAATCATGTAACTCACTAGCCTCATCATCACCAACAAATAAGGGAACACATCCCACATCAAGTATCACCGCATATTAACAAATAATAGAAACTGAGGTAAACAAGTACAATAATTTCTATGACTGAGTACAAATAATGTGAGCATGAATAAAGCCTAAGTATGATCTCTATCATAAAAGCAAACAAGTTCAACAACAATTAAACACATAACCACAGATAATAGCCATTAGGCCTCACAGCCTCACGGGACGGACCAACTCTTAATCCCTCACAGTGCATACCCACACGCTTGTCACCTAGCGTGGGTATCACTTCTAAACAATCACGTGATGTCAAATCTCCGGGTTTATACCCTCAAAGCCAGAGTTAAAACTGTTACTTACCTTAACAACGTAAAAATCTTACTCTGGGATGCCCTCGTCTATGGACTCGGTCTCCAAATGCTCCGAATATATTCACAATTAATTTGATTCAGCTTACCAAAATTATAGGATTTAATTCCATATTAAAATACTAATATTTTCCAAAAATTCAAAATTACGCCCCAAAAATACCCATGGGGCCCACGTCTCGGAATCCGATAAAACTCACAAAATCCGAACTCTCATCCAACCACGAGTCCAACCATACCAAAATTACTCAAATCCGACCACAACTCAGCTTTCAAATCCTCAATTAAAATGTATGAATGTTTCTACTATTTTCAACCCAAAACACTAATTTATTAATAAAAACAATAATAGATTCGTGTAATTTAACCAAAATCGAGTTAGAATCACTTACCCCGTTGTTTTCTCTGAAAATCACCCAAAATCGCCTCAAATCCGAGCTCCAAATCGTCAAAAACTGAAAATGGGATTTCAGAACTTAAACTCACTGCCCAGGCTTTTCTTCTTCGCGAACGCGGTCCGTGCCTCGCGTTCGCGAAGCACAAATTATCTCCTGTCCAAATTCCTCCTTCGCGAACGAGGCATCACCCTCGCGTTCGCGAAGCACAAAGTGCCTCTGCCTCAATGACTTCTACGCGAACGCGTTCAACCCATCGCGAACGCGGTGCTTCATCCCCCCTAACTATGTGAACGCGACATCCCCTACACGAACACGTAGACCAATTGCCTGGGGTCCTCAGCAGCTTCCTCTCTTCTTCGCGAACACGTAACACCTCTCGCGTTCGCGATGCACACCCAGTCCACCCTTCGCGAACGCGTGCTCCTCTTTGCGAATGCGAAGAGCAAATATTGTCAGCCTCTCAGTTCCTCTTCGCGAACGCGAGACTCCACTCGCGAACGCGATAAAGGAAACCAGATGGAGCATCAGAAAAATTCCAGCAGAGTTCCAAGTCCAAAATCCAACCCTTTAACCATCCGAAACTCACCCGAGCCCCTCGGGAGCTAGACCAAATATACCAACAAGTCCTATAATATTATACGGACTTAGTTAAATCCTCAAATCACCTCAAACAACGCTAAAACCATGAATTACACCCCAATTCAAGCCTAATGAACTTTGAAATTTCTAATTTCTACAAACGACTCCAGAACCTATCAAATCACGTCCGATTGACCTCAAATTTTACACACAAGTCATAAATGACATAACAGAGGTATTCCAAATTTCAGAATCGGATTCTAACTCCAATATCAAAAAGTCACCCCTCCCCCCGGTCAAACTTCTCAAAAATTAAACTTTCGGCATTTCAAGCATAATTTCTCTACGGACTTCCAAATAATATTCCGGACACACGCCTAAGCCCAAAATCACCATACAGAGCTATTGAAATCTTAAAAATTCAAATCTGAGATCGTTTACACATAGATCCATATCCGGTCTACTTTTCTAACTTAAATTTTTTAATTATGAGACTAAGTGTCTCATTTCACTTCGAGTTTCTTCCAGACCCGAACCAACTAATCCGATAAGTCATAAATCAATTGCAAGACATAAATTGAGTAGTAAATGGGGAACGAGGTTATAATATTCAAAATGACTGGCCGGGTCATTACATTCCCCCCCTCTTAAACAAACGTTCGTCCTCGAACGAGTCTAACAGAAGAACATACCTGAAATCACAGCATCTGAAGCAATAACGTATGGCCTGGCTGGGAGGGCATAGAAACGGGCTTGACCACCCCCTAATCTGCCTCCCCCTCTCGAGCGACCCATAGCTGACTGGGCTCTGCCCCTAGCTGGCTGAACTCCACCCCTAGCTGGGTGGGTGGGTGGTGGAGGAACTGGTGTTGGTGCCGTTGGCCGAGTACTCTACTGCGGAGTCCCACCTAACATCCTAGGGCAATATCTCGCAATGTGACCAAAATCCCCGCACTCGAAACAACCCCTCCTCTAACGAAACTGCTGCTCCTGATGCCCAAAGGAATTACCCGATGATACCTGGGCGGGCGGGGCATAATGAGAACCTTGTGCTGGCAATGCACTGAATGACGACTGACTCTGCTGAAACTGGTCCTGCTGAAACTGACCTCCCTGAGGAACACCACTGGAACCACCCTGACCACGAGGCCTCTTAGCCTCCCTCTCAGTTCTCTCCTGACCTCGAACCATCTCAATCTGTAGAGCAATGTCGACAACCTCATCAAAGGTAACCCCAGATACTCTCTCGCTGGTCATAAGCAATCGAAGCTGAAAATCGAGGCCATCTATAAACCTCCTGATCCTCTCTCGATCTGTAGGAACCAACCAGACCGCATGACAAGCTAACTCGGAGAATCGCATCTCATACTGTGTAACAGACATCTCACCCTGGCGAAGCTGCTCAAACTGCCTGCGCAGCTCCTCTCTGCAGGACTCAGGTACAAACTTCTCCAGAAAAAGAACGGAGAACTGCTGCCAAGTAAGGGGTGCTGCGCCAACATGCCTACGCCTCTCGTAAGTCTCCCACCATCTGAGTGCAGCCCTAGAAAAATAAAAGGTAGTGAATGAGACCCCACAAGTCTCCAAAATACCAGCAGTACGGAGTATTCTGACACCTGTCCAAGAAATCCTGAGCGTCCTCTCTCTCTGTGCCACTGAAAGGTGGCGGCTGGAGTCTCCCAAACCTCTCCAACCTACGCTAATCATCCTCAGGCATAGCAGGAACCACATAATCCTGTGCAGCTGAAATCGACTAGGATGTTGGTGCCTCCGGTGTCTGAAGTCCCTGAACAACCTGCTCGAGTGTGCGAGCGACGGGAGTCTGAGTGCCTCCCCCAGCCTGAGAAATGGTTGCGACCGTCGAAATAGAAACCGCCAGAGCAAGGCCGGTACACGCTGTCAGAATCTGATCTAGGGCCTCCTGAAGGCCTGGAATCACAATAGGCACAGGTGGTGCCTGAGCTGGCTC